TGTATAGGTACTTGGGTCCAATAACTAAGACAGGGCGAGCACTCGGGTGACAGAATCAATGCCCTCCTTTGAATAATGCGGGCGACACGAGTTGGAGAGAAACTCGAAAATTGGATGTACCTAGGCGGGCCAAATCTCCATGAGTGAGCATGGCATCTCATTATTACAAGTAAACCTAACATATCTATCTAATCTGAGTGGCTGGTATCTCGATCGAGGGGAGTGAGAGAGTGAGACTCTGCGCAACGACACGCCGCCTCCCCTCCTCTCCGTCCTCCGTTTCGCTTCAGAAGTATTTACTGGCAAAAGTATTATACCCTGGCACACTGGCTTACATGTATGTATGAAAAAAAATATAGCAAGGCACCGTGAGGCCATCCAGTCCACAAAAACGAAAGCAAATCAGCCCCGACCATTCTAAATACTCACATCCGCTGACGACGACGACCGCTTCCCGGCCTCAACTCATGTTATCTGTTCCCATAGCGTTGTTGCGGCGGACAATGGTGAGATGGGATTCTGGTCGTCAAAACAAAACGAGAGAAAGCAAGCATCGTTAAAAGGAAAGACTTGGTTAAACTGAACGGCTCCTATGCAAACCGAAACGCCGGAAGATCAGAGCCTGCGAGAGGAGAAGTAACGAACCGACAACACGAGGTATCAATAGCCAAAACTATCATGCTGGTGGACTGGGCACCGTCCAGGATGGTTGATGAACCAAGCTGAGATACAGGATCGATGGAAACGGCAGAGGCACTCCAGACGCGCCATGGGAACGCCCACCTCGAATTCCTCTAGGCAGATGGTGCACTCGGCCGAGTCCACACAGTCCTTTTCTGTGGCAACATAAGGGAACATACCAGTCCGGCGAACCGCCAAGGGTGGTGGCGTTCCGACTGGAGGGGTCTCTCCCGTCGGTGTACCGCCGTAAGCGCTGTGTGAAGTGATGCAGGTGTTAATGTGAGTCTCTCGCAGCTGCTCAAAGTTGGGGAGGGTGCGAGATGGCAGTTCGCGATGGCAGACCGGGCATTCGTCTTCCTCGGCTATTTGGGGCGGCGGCGGCGGCAGCGAACGATTATAGTGCGCCGACGAGGACGACGATGGACCAACATCCAGCATGGATCGATAGCGGGATGAGCCTGGGTAGCCGGAAGATGAGGACGGGTAGTACGTCGGCGGAGTCCCTGCCATGATCCGACTTCCAGTGGACTGGTAATGTCCGCGAGAGCTCGAGGGCCCGCCGGAGCCGGAGTGCTGCACCAGTTAGCATGCGTATGAATGGAATGTGGACCTGGATCAACTCTTACCGTAATGCTTCTAGACCTGGCATAGGTCTCCGGGGAGGGGCTCGACGTGAAGTAGCCGGAGAACCGCGAGGGAGCGGGCGCGTTGCTGGACATTGTGCTGATGCTGCTTTGCGATCTATAATGCGATCCTCGAGGAGACAATTGAGAAGGCGAGCCAAGTGGCTGCTGCGGCGGTGTGGTGTTTGGGTCTGGGACGCATGGGTTGCATAGACGAACGCGCTCTCCTCCACCAAGGCTGCTGAAATCTGCATATCCTCCCTCACCACTGATGAGGGAAGACGGGTATCTCTGGGCGGCCAATCGCGGTTGTCCTGGCGCTTGAACAATGTACTGGTAAGGAATGGTGATTCTGTGAGGCGAACAGGCGTTACAGACGACTCTTCCACATTTCCTGCAATTTGTTAGCAACTACGTCACACAGCCCCTCAACTTCTACATACCTGCAATGATGTTTCCTGACGAATATGCTAAATTGTACGTTGCAAATCGGACAAAGAACAACCTCTGCGTCCGGTTGCCAACGTGGGACGACAAACTCGGGAGGACCACTTCTCTCTCCAAATCCTTGTTGACCGCGCAAAGGAGGCTGAATAGCAGTCGAAGAACTCGCCCGTCTGGGTGGCGGCGGAGGCGGGGTTTCGTGAGATCGGCTGGATATCAGAGCTGGGCGTAGGGGTGAATCGTGTGACGATGTGTTTGCCGCTTGCGATGTAACCAGGCTCGATGATCTTTCCGGTGGGACGAACTCTCCGGTCGGCGTTGCAGGCGTTGCAGTCGGTGGGAGAGGTTGAGAAGTCTCTGAAAGTCGAGAGCTTAAAGGTGTTGGTGGTGCAGGTGCGGCTTCCTCGGGATCCTGAGACTCATCAGGCCCTTCAGTATCCCGTGCTGAGGTTGCCTGTGCTGAATCTACTGGTTCTCTTGGTTGCCCCGTATTCGTCTCCTCGGGCCCGGGCGCAAAGCTTGGTGCTGGGGTCGGCTCTGGAGTTTCTTCAGGCACAGGAGAATCGACGGTAAGTAGCCTCGCGCTTGATGAACTTTCAGCCCTATCGTCGCCCGTCTGATGCTGCACTGCGGGCTCCTCCTCAGCCTCACTGTCGTCGGCCTCGTCATCAGAGAGATGCCTCTCGACTACATGGGTAGGACAGTCGAAGAAGCGAGAGCATTCCATATCGTGGTAGCGAGACGTCCGCCAGCGACATTGCCCCCGTTCGGAAGAGTCGTCTGAAGCATCACTCCCGATGTGGGAGCTGCCCGATATTGATTCTCCTGCATCGTCGAGCAGGCGGTGATGATCGTCGAGGGAAGCTGGAGCAGCTCCACCATCTGAGCTCGCCATCTTAGATCGTTTGCATCGTCTCCGGCGACTCTATCGGTGTGTACGGTCGCGGTGGTTGTTCTTTTGTCTCGAGATGAAGCTAGTCGTTATACGTTCCGCATCAATCAGTCACTGTCGCGAGCGAGTCGTGGACAAACGACAGTCAGGCTGTTGGCCAGTGATAAGTCAGCATGACGAAACAAGAGTCAATATCCGAGATGGTGGGGTCGAATGTTACTTGAACTCAGTTAACCAACGGCGGTCGGGTGCATTTGCGCCTCGGTTTTTGTCGTCGGCGAGGCGATTACTATGCAGAATATGCAGGAACCTCCTAGGTGATGGATGGAACAGGAATATTTGGAGGGGCAAGTCGAGGCACACGAGCATGAGCACATGCACCTCTTGGAGCCACCCTGGTAGGGAGGTCCACGGTTGGAGGCTTATCGCGGCCTAGACCATTTTCCCCGTCTTATCGCGCGATTGGCGCCAGCTCTGATATGTGGCGCGGGGAACGACCCATTGTTGCCATTCCAGGCGAGCAGGGATCGCCACCGTGGCTGGGGTCTCCCAGCTTAGCTAATTCCCAACTCCATCAACATTCAACCGTTGCGTTCCATCTTCAGTAGCGCAATACTTTTTACCACTTCATACACTTTTGATGCCGTTGTATCTTATATCTTGGACATGACAGAACGTCATCCGAGGTTGAAGACTTTTGAGACAAGAGCGCGTATTCTCAATATCGCGGGCCTCCTAGAGCTTATGCGCCTGCTTGCAGAAACCGTTGATAGCGCAAAGCTAGTGATACCAAGCTTGTTTTTCTAACCCAATATTCACGTCTAGATTGTGTTCGTAATCAAGTATGGGCAGTGGTGTGAGAATGACTGTTTTAAGCGAACGATTGATCGTGCCAGCTCATGGCGTTGGGTTTGGCTTATCGACAGAAGTCTACACTTATCGTATTCCTTATGTCGAACCCGTGCTCTATCTTACTGCAGGATGAGCAACATCCATATGATATTTCAAAGGCGTTCAGGTTAGCGGCTACAACATTTCTTAGTTTGGGAGCAAATTACAGAATGAAATGGGTATCAATCTGCCAACGATCGACCGGATGGAAGGAGAGGCGACGGGGTATCTGAGGTTTCATTGAAGCTCCGTGGCTGCCTACCCAAGGTAAGGAGGCAGCGGAAAGACCATTTCGGGGCGTATTACTGATTGGAACCATTGAGAGCCACGACACAGATGGGTTAGAGGGTATATAGGACACAAACTCGGAGGAAGAAGTGTCTCCCCGGTACAGTGCAAACTTGCTGGGGCCACGTAGCCTGGTGGCTAAACGGGTGATGAAGAAACTGGGACGCTGGTTTTTCGTAGGGATAGGGTTCGAACCAACGACCAAGCTTTTTCGTTGATTTTCTCTATGTATTCTCTAGGCTAGGTGGTATATAGGTAGGTCATTGGTTGGAAGGAACGAGAAATCCTCAAGGGTCAATAGTACTCCCCGGAGCCACGTAGCTGAGTGGTTGAATATGGATGGAAAAGAACGGATTTTTCATAAGCACAGGATTGGTTCAAGCGGCCCGAATTCTGTGCTGAGCTTTTGTGTTATTTCTTCTTATCAATACACTTATACTAACAGGGTGTATATGTCCTGTCACTTGAACGATGAACATCCTGGCTTCGTGGGAAGTTCCCAACTTGAGTAGATTTTCTACTTATACCAACAGGGCAACGATGCGAACTCAAAATTTCAAAGCATCGAGGAGACAGAGATGTGCCCATCTCATATTGTGCAGCTGCGGGTGATGTTCAGGGTGTACCCACAAGCGCGATACTTTTCTACATCAATCATCGAAACAGTACAGATCCCACACCCGTCTACTGACACACTGTGAGGTGGAAAGTCTATAGCATATCTAGATGGGCAGAATGGATATACCCGCGGCAGATTCCAGTCAATATCCAAACATGTGTACGTCTCATTACATGTTCTTCTCAACCTAGCTGCTGAAGTTAAGCCAGTTTGGCTTCTCTACATGATTCCATGCGGAAGGATACCAACAAGCTTAATAGAACCATCTCATAGACTTCACCATGCTACCAGTCAGCCAATGGATGGAGACACTTGCAGACAAGTAATGCGTTATCCTTGTACTGTCCATGTTTACACAAAATCACCAATTCAGCATGTATTGGAAGTCAAAGATTGAAGATGGACGTTGCTACTAGACAGTGTCACCCAGGAATGGAAGCAAACAATGGTATCGTTTCTAGGAGTCTATCAGTAACACGTCTCATGATCTGTCCGCACCCATCTTCGTCTATGGCTCCCTAGCCGTCATGTTCACATTCCCCCCTTCCCCCAAAACCCATCTTCACGACTGCACCTTCAAACCCCAGAATGCATCCAACTCGCGCAAAATATACTCCGTCTTGGTCATGACAAAGTCGTGACCCCCAGGAAGGACCTTCCACGTCACATTTTCCTCGCCGCCTAACAACGGCAACCCATCCTTGGCATAGTGGTCAACATCAATAACCTCGTCCGTCTTTCCAATAAACACCGCCGTGGTCCCCTTCTTCCTCTGACCTAGAACCCGCCACGTCTCGTGCTGGCCCGTAAGCGGCGCCCATCGCACGCACGACATGAACGCCTTGACGAAACCCTCGTGGTGCGCGACCATCCAGGGGACGTACTCCCGCACTTTTCGCTCAACCTTCTGATCCTCTGCGCTGCCACCGTGGGGGCCAGACACCTCCGCGGCCGCGACGTCGACGACCTTCTCAACCGGATCTTCCTCGTCCCCGACAGCATTAGATCGCTTACTCGCCAACGGCTTCTGCAACCTCTTCCTCGTAACAGCTGCAAGAATACGCTCAGGCACGAGACCAGACTGGAACGTAACCTGCGCCAGCACGCCAAAGTTCTCTGCGCGAATGAGCCCCGCGGGCGCGAGCAGGACGAGACTCTCCACCATATGCGGGAACGACGCCGCAAACGAGGCGGCGACGGCGCCGCCCAGGGAATAGCCCACGACGCGGACGGCGTCGGTGCCGGACCAGGCGAGCGGGGAGGAGGCGAGGGCGAGGAGGACCTGCGTGGTGTACAGGCGTGTGTCGTGGGGCAGGTCGCCGACGCCGTCGGAGAAGCCGCGGCCAAAGAGGTCGAAGAGCATGACGCGGCAGCCGCGGGCGGCGAGGGCGTGGGCGATGGGGCCGAGGGTCATGCAGGAGGTGCTGATGCCGTGGATGAGAATTACTTTTGGCCCGGTGGTTGAGCCCCATTCGTAGACGCGGATGGAGCCGTACTGAGAGGGTGTATGTTAGTCAATCACCTAGCAAGGTACTAGGGAGCGCATCTTGGAAAGATGGTGAGCTGGTGGCGAAGGGGTGGTATCTTACAGGCGTGTCCACATCCCGGGCGCCGGGAAAGTAGTCTGGGTGGTAGGGAAGCTTCCTGACCTCATCGCTTGTGAGTGTGGGAATCTTGGTCTTAAGAGGGTTAGGGATTGCGGTCCCCCAGTTTGGGTAGAGACCGAGTCGCGCAAGAGATAAGAAGGAAAGTGTCGCAACGACGGTCGTAGCTACGATCGCCGCCGTTTTTGGCTCGATGGAGGCGCTGAATAAGGATTCCATCGTGCGGGTAGGTGGCTCGGGAGCGACAAACACAGGAGTTTGGGCTTTCGTGATGCGTGACGTAGGTAAATACCGGATGCTACGGATCGCAAACGAGTGGGGAGCCTGGTGCACAAGGAACTCTAGACAGATCCTCAATCAGAGAACCTTGGATGAGTGTTGTTGGCCGATCTCTCAGAGTATTATTCAAAAAATAGAAACGATTGTACAAGCGAAGAACGCTTGAGGAACAGCCTTTGTGAACCTCAAAAACGGTAAGATGACGTGGGTGAGGCTGAGCCGAGGACTTGTCGTCGGTGTTCGGTGCCCCGGTGCTGTACGGCAGGAGTCGCGCGTTTGGTGGAAGGATCGGCGTCATTTTTTTTCCCCCTTTCCTTCACGAATCAACAAACTACCTAGATCGGCCCGGGGAGGGTCCCCCTGACACTCTGAGATGGCCCCACGAGGAGTACTCCGCAGCGGCCGGATCCCTATCGCTGGCCCCACGTGGTCCTGTCAAAAATGGGGACGTCGCTCCCGGCTGGCAGGTAACGGTCGGCACGGGATCTGTTCGGTACTCCGTAGATGCAGAGAGAGAGATCCCGCCCCGAATTGGCCGCGTACGTATCAGAACACCAACCGAATTACCCAACTCTCAGCTTCCTACTTGAATTTGTGGGCTTCGACTTTCTGATGCATTGTGTTCGGCATGATCTTACTGAGTCTGAAGACTCAGTACTTGTTGTGCAGTGCATGACTGTTAAATATGATTTTCGGCAGCACTGTAGGCGGCTCGGCTCGGGATGTGTAAAAACCACTAGATATTCCGACGATAACGATGGACAATATAGTCTGTAGGCAACTCATGGTGAGTATAGCACGATCTTTGAATTTTGAAGCTTCTCAGAGATCAGCCACCTTATCTCTCGGAACTTCAACCAATATCAAGCTTCGCAGCACTCTCGGATTTTCTCCTCACCAACTGATTTTTTATTTTTTTCTTTGTTCTTTTTTTGACCAGCAGAAGACCAAGCTATCGCCAGCAATTGCACGAGATACATTTTCCACTACCATATAAGTAATTTCTATTTTCAAAGACGTGTCAACTTCTCCAGTGCCATAGGTTTTGTCACTCAGCTCGTCAATGTCGACTAAGCAAAGTAAGCCGCACTTTTGATGTCGTGTGGCAAGGTCAACTGTGCAAACCGAACCCGAAGGTCGGGCCGTATCACGTAGAGTATCATCAAGTCACAAGCCAAGCAGTCCCATCCACAAGGGGCTTATACATAAGGTATTCTGGTATTCTACGACACACTTTACTCGACGTGAATGCTCCGAAACAGCTGTACCGTCCAAACCCTTGGCGAATGCAACCCCCTCCAAAAATAAAGATTGCCAAGGAGGAACCCAAAACCCATCGATTTAGGTACATTTGCAGTAGCATTCATCTAAAGCGTGTATACTATCCGAATGCGCGGGTGATCAAAGGTTTAAGATTCTTAAGCCGATGCCACTCTCGCTACATTTACTTCACCAACACCACCCACCCACGCAAACACACACACTCTCTCTATCTCTCTCTGTTATTTAGTTATACGAACAGCCTCGTCTCAAGAAATGAACAGAACACTCGGCTCAGCCCCAATATTAAAAAACAGCAAACTCTTCACGCACAAGCCCTATTCTCAGCATCAGACAATTCCGGCATCCCGCAATTACAAACCCGTTCTCGAACTCGATAAGGAGTGAAGAAACCCCATCCGTCTATGCTCGCCCCAGTCGTTCGGCCAGGGGGGGTGGGAGAAACGGTATGAGCTAGGTCGAGAGCTCTGAGCTTTTGAGATTTTGTTTTGCCCCAGGTACGTGCGGATATTCAAATGTGCGTGCGCGCGCGCGCAGTATCCGTACCTCATGCATCTTTGGTTTGCTTACGGGGTACTCCGTACCATTCGTATGATCACCCAGCCCCCATGACGTTCGGGTCGGGTATCGAACCAAGCAAGACCCAGCAATGGGTGTCCTGTTTGCTATGATCTCACTGTTCATAACAGGCGAGTCTCAACCATGGTTCTTCATTCCCTTCCCTTCTCCCGACTCCCTGGGGGCCTGGGCAGGGAGACAGGAAAATATGCATTCGGTAAGAAATTCCCTTCTTCTACACATACCGAAATACAAGCACGGGAGGAGGGATGTAAATCATGACAATAGCCAATGAATGCTTTCCCTCCGGTTCGGTTTCGCATTCTCTCATGGAAATGCCTGCCAAGCACGGTTAAAAAAAAAAAAAAAGAATAGACAGAGCGTAAGGCGAGGTACGAAATACAACATCACAAAACGTCAACTTTTACCGGGAAAAAACTCAATTGCGACACAGCAAAAGTGACTGACTACTTACTACTGACCAGTACCAATCAACGACTCAAGCAAGCGCGCACATTAGCCGCGACATCTTCGCTACAATTCCGCGCTTTTCAATCTTTTCTCCGAATTTTATTCATGTCTGAGCCGATGGAGGTTGGGATATCCCCGAACCCCCCCCCCCCCCCATCTTCCCGCGTCACACTCATCTAAGGTACGCAGTAGAACGTCTTATCCACTTTGTCCCGCGGGAAAACTTGCCTCATTGATTATACTTACCTTAGGAGTGGCATACATCACAAGCCCTTCACAGATTAGGGAACCCAAAGGATCCGTATCCCGGTATCTTATGACTCGCGGCATATGGGCTGAACCGGGACCGGGATCTAGGTACATATTACCTTACGCAGTACTCCGTACGGGCCAGAATAGTTGGAAAAAAAAAAAAAAAAGGCACGGACAAAGTCGGTTTACTATGTATCCGTAAAAGGACCAAAGCAAAAGGTTTCCCCTGCGTTGCTTTATATTCTACTCCGTGCTACGGAAGCGCTCTCGTGCCGGCAGGCAAGCCGGCCAACCATTCCCTGCGAGTGATTGACTTAAACATACCTTACACAACCTCACCCTTACTCTGGAGTCTTCTGTACTCCGTACGGATGCCCCGCGAGGCATAATAATACATCTCCCCAAGAAAGAGCCCTATAGGGCGGGAAAAAAGGGGGCAGTGCAAGACATTTGCATTTTTGCTTAACGCCAATTTCTGGGTCGGTATTTCCGAAATGATGGATGTGTCCCCCCTACGCTCTCCTGTATCTTGCCGCGATGCCGCAGTACCGTGACTTGGCCCCCAAACGGAGGTGTCCGAGCCGTTGATGCTTGAATACATCCAATCTTCATTGATTGCAAGTTCGTGGCTGAACTTGCTGGCCTCGAACACTGAACACTAGACATTGAATATGACATCCGTCTTTCTGCAGACTGGATGCAGCATTGATCCATGCTGAACTTCAACATGGTGGGGCCAGTCCGATGGGGGGAAGAGGAGTTTCAAGGCCACCGTGTCGGGAAGGGAACGTCCGTCTGTTCTACGCAGTAGGGGGGCCTGCGTTAGCCGTCCAAAGTTGAGCTCTAAGTGGTGAGCTTAATTGCCCATGTTCTAGTTCGGATAGCAACCGAATACACCATAAATGAGAAGGGACGATAATTGTAATTCAGCTAGCGCAAGGCTAGACATCTTTGGTATTGTAGGCAATATAGATTGATGTGGTTCCAAGAACCTTGGCTTTAAGCGCAAGACACCTTCTTTGGAAAGAAGCCGCAGACAGGTAACTTTTTTGATACATGGGTATACAACCGACCGCCATTTTACCTCTAGACGCCTCTTCGTGAAGTACAAAACAAACAAAGTAAAAGTAAATATCAAAATATGGCTCGTAATGAATAACAACAACAACAAATCATCATGACATGCCGACTGCCCAAGCAGCGTGGCCTAGCTGCTTGATCAGCAGGCACAAATTCTCGACAATGGGCGGGTGAAGATCCGCCGACTCGCGAAAGTTGGCCCGGAGCACTTCCTGGGCCACTTCCATGCACGCCTTGGGATCGTCGAGCGACGCCTCGGTGGCGCCGGCCCTACTCATGGGTCCTAGGATCACCGGCCGCCCCTGGTTGAAGCCTATGAATCGGTGCACCAGGTTCGACTCGGTGCCGTCCAGAAACACCTTTTCCTGGTCGAACCCTTGCACCGGCGTCTTCCCCGTGCCGCTCGTCTTGGCGACCACCCCGTAGGTCCAGCACGCCAGAGCCGCATGGTGGACGGCGATGGCGTAAAAGTCTTTGAGATGGCCCTGGGGGAACATCTTGGCCTGACGCAGGATCTGGCCTGCGTGCCAGAGCGACTGGCGCGCCTCGGCGCTCTGCGACCACTCGCGCAGGTCACCGAATACCCGGCGCGCCTGGTCCTCGCCTTCCTTGCCAGAGAAGAGCTGTAAATCGTTGAGGGAGAGGTGCAGGTTCATCATGAGAAGATGGAGCACCAGACTCTCCTGCGTCGAAAGCATCTCGTGCCAGTCGGAAGTGACCAGCAAGAAGCCCTGCAGGTCTTTGCAAAGCTCCGCATGTCTGGAACGTAGTACCTCCTCAGACTTCCCTCCAGAGTTGTTCAGCCAAGTCCGGGTGCGCAAGACGGAACACAGCTGGAGATACTCAAGAATGAGCGCCCAGTAGCCATGCAGGTATATCGAGATTGCAAATTGCAGATCTAGTCGCTGGCGGTTCGTCGCCAACAAACTGATGTCCCGGAAGAGATCACCGATTGAAGGTGGTCGTTTGCTCTGTCCGTTCGTTCGTTCGAGATAGTGCATCTTCCATTCGGCCGCCGTCTTTGCAAACCACAGCTCCTTTGCTTCAGGGAGGGGCAGGGTAAGTTCCGAGTACGACATGGAGGGGTTGGTGAGTGTTGTCATGGAGGTCTGAGCGTCTCGCACGAAGCAGTGGAAAAGTAGTCTAAATGCGTTAGCACAAGGATATCCCGGACCTTTGGGTCTATAAGCTTACCTCTTCCACGACTCACGCTCGCACCAGGCCCTCCATTTTTTCTCCAAAACTTCGCCTTCGTCCGACATATTGACCTCGACCATGGGGTACGATGCTCGCTGGAA